TCAGAGCAATATTCTGCTTCAAACCCATAGGATACACATATATATATATATATATATATATATCTTAAAATCCACAGAATGCAAGAAACCAGGCTGCTCCTAGGGCAGGCAGCTTGCTACGAGGGGGCCATGAGGCACCTCGCAAGCACCATGCTGCACCCTGGACCCTGCAGAGGCAGCCAGACGAGGGCACCCAGCGGGTCCAGAGCTGAGCCAGGAGCCAGACCCAAATCCATCACCCATTTTCATGCTTTTCTCCCACACCATCCTTATTCCCAAATCCTATTAAAGAATTAGAACCGCATGTTCACTAAAGATCACAGGGGCTTTGAGCCAGCAGACGAGTCAGATAACGAGATAGTTACAAATACTGCAGGACACTGGGAGACCAAAAATCATTAAAATAATGACATAGACAAAACTTCCTAGACATTAGCTGGAATGGCACCCGAGTCAGCTCTCTGAAGCTCCCTTTTATCTTAAGGTCAGAACATGCTGCTTTTGAGCTCTACCCTTAATTTAACAGGGTTACCTCCAGAAATAGCCAGTGCATGGTGCCTCATTACTTGGGCCCAGAGGGAGAGCTGCTCCCTTACATCCTCCCTGGGATGAGTACCAAATTCGGGGTTGGTGGAAGCTAAAATGCTAGGGTGGTGCTTGCTGGGGGGGAAATCAGTGGAAAGTCAATGCTGGGGGTGCTGCCAGCAGCGGGGCTCACCTGGGGGCTCCGTGGGGCAGGGCTGCAGGTCACAGGTCTGTTTGCCCACCGGCTTCACCAGGGGGTCGCAGCCCCGGACGATGTCCTTCCCTTGGTAGCACTTCACGTCCCGCATCCTCACGCCAATGCCGCAGGTTTTCGTGCACTGGGGAACAGAGAGAGGGGGTAAGGCAAGACCCTGCCATGGCGGGGGTCTGTGCTAAGCCAGAACCTGCTAAATAAAAAACCCAAACAAGTAAATGTGCTTGCTGAAGATGTCAGGGCAAGGAGGTGAATGTCATGTCTCAACTCCGCACCGCTGGCCTCTTGCTCCGTCTTTGCTGCCAGCAACATCAGCCGCCTGTAGCAGCCTCTGCTCAGGGATACGGGGATGCGCTCCCGTCAGGGATACCGGGATGCACTCCCGTCAGGGATACCGGGATGTGCTCCCATCCTCTGGCACCACGACTCTCCCTCCTCCTGCTGCCCTTTGCAAAGAGCCACGAATGAGCTGTCCCAGTCCATTAGCTGCTCCGTGGCACCAGGGGGGTTGCAGCACCCCAGGGCTGTGGGACCCCTCACCAGCACCCCGGGATGTGTGTGTGTGTGTTCACAGAGCCACTCCTGGGCCCAGCGCTCGCTGCCTGCTGCCCTTTGGATGCCTCATCAGGCAGGGATTACAGCGGGGCTGCTTTGGCTAATTACAGGCTGCAATGATGGTTCGCAAGACTAAACAAAATGAGGTGCCTGGAGCACGGATGAGGGGGGCTGCGTCGGGGAGGGCTTTCGGGGAGCTGGCCACAGCCCTTCACAGCTCCTTGCCTGCACTCGCTGGGCTTATCCCCACGGCCACCGAGCCCTGGCGGCCTTTGGCAACCATGCAGAGTGCTGGGGCAAACTGTGTCCCCAACCTCCGCACCCCCGGGGCAGTCATCCCACAGGCTCCATGCACGCCCCACCAGCAGCTGTGGGGTAAGGAGGGGGAAGAAAGGAAAAGAAAGACAGAAAGAAAGACAGAAAGAAAGACAGAAAGAAAGACAGAAAGAAAGAAAGAAAGAAAGAAAGAAAGAAAGAAAGAAAGAAAGAAAGAAAGAAAGAAAGAAAGAAAGAAAAAACAAAAAGGCCAAAGCTGACCCCAAACACCTCCTCTCGTTCCTGTTCTCCCTGAGCACAGCCAGTGCCGATGGCACCGTGGCAGGGCAGGCTCCCTGCCCCGAGCTGCCCGTGCAGCAACAGGGCGCCCATAGGTGCTCCCTCGGGGGCTGCGTCCTAAAGACCTTTGCCCACCTCCCTGGGTTATTTTGCAGCTGGTGTGGCCCTTGGTAGGAGGGGACGGAGCACCAGAGGCTCAGGGTGAGTGCATGATGAAGGAAGGGTATCTCCCCCCCACCTCTCTCCCCCAGATCCCCCCCTCAGCTCCCTCCCCGCTCACCTCCGACCAGGGGGTCGTGTACCACTTGAAGCACGGGCGCTCAAAGCATGTCGTCTCCTCCACAGGCTTCTTGGCGACGTCGCAGTCAGCGGGGTTGCGGGTCTTGATCTTGCCATTGACGATCTCCAGGCAGAGCACGATCCTCTTCTTCACGCCCCGGCCGCACGTGGTGTTACACTGTGGGTGTGCAGCAGTGCGAGGGGCAGTTCTTGTCCCCGCAGGGATGGATGGCCAGCGGCTTCATCTCCAGGTTGCACTGCGACTCCGGCACCACCCGCCCATCGCTGGTTTTGCAGTACACGTGCCGGATCATCCTGCCCTGCCCGCAGCCGCCACTGCACTGAAACCACAGCGAGCACGGCAGGCAGTCAGCGGCAGGGGAGGCAGCACGGCGCCATCCCCGTCCCCATCCCCGCGACCGGGACAGAGATGCCTCCGTGAGGCTCAGCTGCCTCCCCAACCCCACCTTCCCCAAATTACGGAGGGATCATTGGGGCTCGGCTTAAAATAGCTGCAGGGAAGCTCAGTGCATCCTTCCCTGGGCAGCCCCGCCGCAGCCAACCCATGCCATGGCCCCACCACGCTGGTGCTGAGCAAAACTCAGCATCTCCTCAGGCCAGGCAGGAGGGGAAGCTCCGTGAGCAGGGAACCCCAGGGCGGCTCTCGAAGAGGTCAAGGCAAAGGGGACCAAGCAAGTGGCTGCAAATATTCCTCCTTCCCCTGCAAAGGGCCAGGCAGGCACTGCCCTGAGCGCTGGCGGAGGCAGCGAGTGCTCCCCGGCTCTTGCGGCCGCTCTTGCAGAGACGTACGGCATTTCATAGCGCCGCTGCTGCCATGGAAACTACTTATTTTTAGCTGATGGGAATGTATCAAAACCTGGGTAAAAATAGCTTGGGATGGAGGGGGTCTCTATAGCAGAATTGTGCAGGAAGGGAAAAGGCGGGGGGGGAAAGGGAAAAGGTTCATTTTCTGGGCACGGAGCATCAGCATCATCGAGGTATGCTGTGCAGCAGGCAGACAGGAGGATTTTGACACCCACTAATGCCCTCGGCCAGGTCTCTTGGTGTTTAATCCCTCCTGCACCCTGTCCCCCGCAAGGGAGGAGCTCCAGGGAGGACCTGCTGGGAAGCGGTGGGACCCACCGGGACGCTGGATCAGCCCCAGTGCTGGAGCCCATCTGGCAGCTCATCCCTGCCCTGCGCAAGGAGGAGCGGCGTGAAGAGGAGGGCCCAGTGCTCAAACACCATCAAACCCCAGTGCTGCCGCGGGCACAGGGCTGGGGCGGCCAGTCAGGGTGACCCGGGGTGGCCGTGCTAGTGGGCAAGTCCTGGTGACAAGACATTGAGGTGACATGGGGACTAGGAGACCCAAAGCGGCCAAATCGTTTGGAGGTCGGCTCCGGGTGCGGGGCTGCCTGTGGGTCTGGCGGAGCTGGGAGCTGCCAGGGAGGATGAATCCAAGCCCAAAACTCCCAGTGCTGGAGACACACGCAAGCTAGGCCAGCTGCAACGGGTCGTGATAGCCACTCTGCTGGCCACCCCGGGGTCTCACCGGTCCCCAGTCAGAGACGGTCCACTGCCGGTCACAGGGTGGTCCGGTGCAGTTCTTCTCTGCCAGGGGCCGGGCGCTGGCGTCGCACAGCTTCTCCTCCTCCGAGCAGCGGATGTCCCGCGTCACCACGCTCCGCTCTCCGCACCGGGCTGAGCACTGCGGGATGGAAGGGGGGGGACAGCATCAGCAGGGGCTCCCACTGTGATAGGAACTGGGAGCTGCCTCTTTTTTTTTTTCTTTTTAAAAACCACAAAACTCTAAAGACACCCACTGAAAATGCAGAGGTGACTGCCTGTAAAACAATCGGTAGCAAAGCTGCCCCTCTTCCCCAAAACCCCTCAACAGCTTCAGCAGTCAGGTGAAAGTGCAGGAGGGCTGTATCCTGCCCAGGGTGCTGTGCAAGCTCTCCACTGGGTGATCCCAAATGCCAGAGGGTGAAAGCCCAAGGCACCGAAAACGCTCAGTCAGAGCTGAAAAGTTTGAGCTGTCACTTCGAGCCGGGGTGAGATCTCCTCGCCCCCTCCCCAGGGACAGCCAGCTCCTTTCCACCTCTTTGGAGACTGTTTTCCCCAAACCGCACAACTGAGATTTTTAGGCTGTGGATAAATTTGGCACCGCGCAGCCCCGTGACATTATTTAGAACTGGATTTGAGTTACTACAGTCTCGCATACACACATTTGCTCCATGCATAACGTAAAGCAGGGAGAAGTGTCAACAGCACAGCACTCAGACGTACCGCACTGATATGTTAATCCTCAGATCCCCGAAACGTGCTTTTTTTTTTATGCCTATTCCCCCAGCCAACTTGGCACCCTGCTCCAGCTGGGATCCAAATGAGATTAGCTTTGCTGCTGGCTAAGAACAAACCACTCCAGGACTGTCTCAAGCAATCTGTCCCTGACACATGCTGGAGAAGAATACGGATTTCTGTAAAATAAGCCACTCCGCTTTGCTACGCCAGTCAAAATAACAGGCCAGCACGTGCGGTGGGAGCTCCTCTCTACCCAGCTGGGAAAGTCAAAACATCCTGCAACACCAGGGAACACACCAGCCCCTCCGTCAGCTTGAGGGAAACAACTCACCCCGGCTTGAAGGGAAAAAAAAAAGATATTTAAATTAATGATCAAGAAGCGTTTTGGAAGCCTCCCAGGAGGAAAAGTCTGATCCCTCATGGTGTAAACTGTGGGGCAGGTTCACGCCTGCGGACAGCTCGGCTCCGAGCTCAGTTCGCTCTTGCTTAGAAAGGGTCTGGGCTTGATTTGGGAGCAGGAAGGACATTTGCTCCTTTGCAGAGTCAATGAGCGTGCGGGCTCCAGGGCACAAGCGCCACGCTCTGTGCACGGCCGTCACCGTCACGGGGGGGCTGGCGGTGGCACCCCGGGCGAGCTCGGAGACGGACCCAGACGCAAAATATCCCTCTCCCCATGGACGCCCATTTCCAGAAGACGTGGAAGAGGCAGGGCTGCTTCCCAGCAATGCATGGGGACATAGTTACACACCTCCATGCGTTTTCTATGTTCGCTGCACGCCATGCTGGGTCCCCCTCCCTGCACCACGAGCATCAATCCAGTGCAACACCGGTGGCAGCCAGGGGACTGGCTCCCGCGCTCGGAAACCAGCCCTGGCTCCCCAAGGAAGCGGCACTGCTTTGGTCGTTTCCACGGGTTTATGTTTGCAAGAGGCACTCCAGAGCATTGCCTGCGCCTGGAAATGAATTCAGGGGCACAAATCCTTTCACAGGTTTTCCAGAGCAAACAGACGAGCTAAAGCAAGAGCAGCGCTGCACCGCCCCAAACCACTTCCCAACGGCTTTAGGGATCTGCTTAAGGCACGGCTAGGAAAAGGTTTAATTCTCCATGTGGTGCGGTGAAATTGGAGGTGAGGAAGGGAAGTTTATGGGAATGTAATTCACATGTGAGGTGGGATCTCCTCCCTGCCGCGTTGTACCGCAAGGCGAAGAGGCTGCCAAGCAAGCAGTGGTGGGAGGATCGCAGCCACGGGATCCTGACCCATCTCAGTGGGCAGCACCAGCACCTCATGTGCGGTCAAAACCAGTGAGTGACTGATGGTGGTGGCCTCCCCATCCTGGAGAGGACCCAAGGCTTTGGTTTAGGGGGGAAAAAAAAAAAATAAAATGCAATGACTGCAGCCAGAGTCCTAAAAGGCAGAGCCTCTGATGGCCACGGATGAGTTTCAGTTGGAAAAGGAACGGAGAAGCGCAGGCACGTGTGCTTGCCCTTGGTGCCAGCAGTCCCCGGGGACTTACCTCGGACCACTCCGACATCTCCCACTGGGGCCCGCAGGCTGGGTTCTTGCAGACCTTGCGCTCGTCCGGCCGGGTGATGTCAGCAGACTCGCAAAGGTCGCTGTAGACGGAGCTGTCGAATCCTGGGGAGATCATCTTCCAGCAGCGGACGATGCGGAACTGGTAGCCCTCCCCGCAGGTGCGGGAACACTCGCTCCAGCTGCTCGTCTCCCACCTGCGGAGGCAAGAGAGGCCATCACGCCGGGCACGGCTGGACCTGGGCTGGAGCATCCCACGGGAAAACCCTGCCTGCTCTTGGCTGGAGGGAAACGGCCGCAACAGGAATGAGCTGTAGTCAGGCTGCCAGCGTGCGAGAGGTTTTCCCGCAGGATGGGATGGATTCAATGACGGTGGTTTCATCCAGCAGACCTGAGCTCACGCCTGCAGTGGTGGATGCTAAACTCAGATGGAGGAGAGGAAGAAGGCGCCAGCGCAGCGAGGCACGGAGCCGTGCGCTCGCTGCCGAGTGTTTGTCACCCACAGGCTGCACGCTCCCCGGCTGCAACCCCACGTGCGCCAGCATGTTTCTCTGCCATGCTTTTTGCCCACATTCAACTGCTCTTTTTTGCCTGATCAGCTAAAGGACAGAGAGGACACGACCGTCCGTCACCTTGCAAACTCCAGCAATAACGTCACACAAAGCTGCTTGTGCCCCGGTGGGACAGACCTTCGTGTGCCACCATCAGCCTAACTCTGCTACCCCCTGCAATGGGCTGGAAGAGCTGGGATCTGCTCCGAGACACTGCCTGCCCCTTGCTGTCCCCTGCCACTACTGTCCTGCCACTGCAAGAGGAGAGCAGCTTGTAAACCAAGGGAAGAGACATTTAAATAACATAAATCAATGTTTTCACAGTACGGTAATGTTGTAATAGTTCTGACTGAAAGAATAATCTAAAAAAAAAAGTAAAAATCTAAAGGAATAAGGAATCACAACTCCTCTGGCCATGCGGCTGCCCCCTGCATCCCCTGGGGCCACCCGCTGCTGCTGCTCTCCAAGCTGGAGAGCCGCATCCCGGCTGCACCCTGGCCTTGTGCCCCGCGCGGGGCTGCCGGCAGAACAAGCAGGGAGACGTCACACATTTAGGGGTGCCACCTAAATACAGAAGATGAGACGAAACCAAGGTCTTTCCCAGCCAGGCAAGGCAAAATTCTCCTGGTACTTTCTGTTGGAAAAGCATTGCCTGCCAGCCCAAGCAGCATCCCGCCTGCCCAAGTGCTAGCAAATGTGCCCGGCTGCCCCATCGGAGCTCCTGGCAGCTCCCTGGTTTACCCACCACCGAGCTGCAATCACTGGTAAATCAGAGAGCAGCTCTTCTCTCTCCCAGTGCAAGCCCGTGGAGCTGGAACAGCACAACTACAAGGAGGGGCAGCTTTATAAAAGACCAGTGGGATAACCTAAGCATGAAAATAGCCCCAATGCTCGTGCTAAAAAATTACAAAGTTAATGCAAACAGAGATTAAAGTCTCCATGGTGTCTACAGGGCAGGTACATTCCCAGCACTAGCACCAGCCACCTCCCCACACTTTTTTTGCCTCACCCACAGCCTGCCCTGGCTTTCAGCCCCAATGTGCAAGGTTCAGTGAGATCTTACACTGCAAAGGGTCCATGCTTTCCTCCCCCGTCCTCCTTCACAGTTACCCGAGGCGAAAGCAAGCGCTTTCCAGGGCCCACAGCATCACTCGAACCTTGCTTTGCACTGTTCGCAAGCCACACCGCTCCAGGGCACGCACCAGGCAGCTTTGCTTCTCCCTTTGCCCTGTCCATAGCCTGACACTGCCACGGTCCTCCTCCCTTCGACAGACACCAGTCTGTCCTGCCCATAACCGCTGTTACTTGCAAACCTCCCAGCAAGCACGCCCCGTGCTCCGAGCCAGCAGCAGAGGAGCCCCAAGCCGCACAGCCTGGCTCTGGACTGCAGCCACACTTTTCGGATAAAGAGCTGCATCAGAAGGGAAACCTTCTGAAGGACCTTCCGGCACGCGTTCCCCTCTGCGCCAGCTCTTGCCCCGACACAAGCAAATCTCAGCGATGTTTAGGATGCTGAAGGGACCAGAGGGCCAGAGCTGTGGCACAGTTTGCAAGCCCAGCCCCTCCACCCAATTCACGCACACGTTCCTCCGGGCACTGGCCAGGGCAGGATACTGCCTGTGGTGTGAGAAGCTGTCGATGGGAGCTGCAGATGCAAACTCTGCCAGGATTTATGGAACTTTTAACCTGGCAGCTTGAGCTAAAGCCCTCAGGAGGGAAGCCTTGCTGAGTCCCGGTGCAGCCTGGTCAGGTGCAATGGGGAGAGGAGGGACAGGGGTGCTATGGGCCATCCATTGCTCACCACCACCACCAAATCCACACCGACCCCCTCCCCCAAACACATCCACGAGCACCCCAGGAGCGCCCTGTCGAGGCGGTACCTTGGCTGGCACTCTCTCCCAGCACAGAACTCATGGACGGGCTCAGGACGGGTCATGGCATCACAGTACGTATCGTCCACTTCGATCCCATCATAGCGAACACACATAGCATACGTGGACATCACTCCTAGTTTCAAAGAGAATACACACACACAACAGAGGACGCTTGGTGATTTTGACATCCAAACTCTTCTCTTTTTTTTTTTTTTTTTTTTTTTTCTTTTTTCATTCTTTTTTGAGCTGCATTTTCCAAAACTTCCTCCCACTGGAAAGCAGCAAGCCAGACTTTCTGGCCCATGGGGCAGATGCTGCTGGGGAGGAGGGGGGAGAACTGCGGTGGCCACCCAGCCAACATGGGCAGCGTGGCTGAGCTTGGCTGGCTCCGAAGGCGGGCACGGCCACCCCTGCCAGGGCTTGCCACCAAGATCAATATATGACTAACACATTTTTATAGGAAATGCTCAGGGCAACGAGTCTGCTCGGCAGCTCCCTCCGCCTCGCAGCCATCAGCTCCCACCCTGCCGGGCTCATGGGTGGAGGCGACAGAAAACGGTCCCCAACCCACTCCATCCACCCCCTCACTCTATGCATTGCACCCCGTTTGTGCCCAGGTGCCCCCCAGGTGCCCCCAGCGCTCCGAGCCAAGGAAGGGCTCCCGGGGGCTTTGCAGAGAGGCACCTGCCCCTCGTGCTCCCCCGCCGAAAGCACAGGCAGCCGGTGTCGTCAGACCGAGACCTTTTCCCCCGCAGCCTGCCGTGCCAGAGTAAATGTTGTGAAGCCCATTCTGGGACCTGGCTGGGGACCAGGAGGCTGCTCTGGCTACAGGTAACAAGAATTGCAGCTCTCGGGAACATATGGTTTACATGAAACTAAAAAAGATCTACAGCTCTTGACATGGTATTGCTTCTCTGCGATATGTCATTAAGAAAAGGCAATGAGAAAGGAGAAATTTAAGTAAAACCTCTCTCTGCTAGCTGCAAACCAGGGCAGAGCAGTCCAGCCTGGTCAAGCAGGAAATTCGTTCAGAGGGGAATCAGAGAAATTAAAAGTGTCCCAGAACACGTGGCTGACGACATCCCGGGGAAAGGGACGGCTTGCAAAGCTCCTGCTGCCAGCACGCTGCGGGCATGTGTCTGCTGGGCAAGAACAAATGCTTAAAAACTGAAATCCTTGCATTTGCTCCTTTTAAGAGATGTCCCTTAGATTGCAATCTCCTCTCTCCCCCTTTTTTCCCTTCTTTCCAATTCCAGAAGCACCGCAGGATCTGGATTATTTCAGGGACGGTGCCATGGGGGAGTGGTGCAGGCGAGCGCACAAGCGCTCGCTGGGCTCACAGGGGCCAGGACCCCCTGGCCAAGGAGTAAAGGAGGAGAGAGACCAGGTGGCTTGAAGTTTTTCAGAGGGCAAAAAGGGGGAAATTTATGCAAAAAGAATATGGACTAGGTTTTGATGTCCCTGGCATCTACCTCGCTGTTCCAGATTTACACCCTCGCAGCCAAGATCAGGCTCCAGGGTAGAAGGAGTGGGAGAAACAAAACAAAATCAAAAAGCCAAATGCTGTTTTGTTTCCTGCCAGAGCTGAACAATCTTCAAAATTTCACTCTGTGGGGAAGCAGCTGAGCTTTTCAAACCCCTCTGAACGGTCAAAAAGGGGAGGAAGCAAAAAAAAAAAGAAAAAAAAAAATAGGAGGCAATACGCTGAGACTCAGCACAGGTTTGGGGATCCTGCCGAGCCCCAGCGCATCCCTGCTGGGCTGGCAAGCAAAGGCGATGCTCAGAGGTCCCCGGGGGAGAGCGTTTTGCACGACGGACACGCTGGGCACCAGTGCCCAGCCCCCAGGGTTGGTGGGATTTGCACCCCGTGCACCCCGGCTCCTCTCCCTGTGTTTGCACCCGGGTGGAGCGGATTCGGGGCTGGGCTAAACCAGCTCCACAGATCACGAGCTCCCCTACACATCACCAGGTCCTTCCCAACCCTAACAGACATAAAAGTGACTCACACACCAGGTGATTTCAGCGGTTGTGCAGAATTTGGCTGCTTCTTATAACTACCTGTGGTACATGTAGAGCTGCAGGGTTCATGGGAGGAAAGCTTCCACCTGTACATGTCAGCAGCACTCACACCTTGGCCCTTTCTTAACAACTTCAATCTGTTTCTAGCGATAAGCAAACAAAAAAAAAAAAAAAAAAGAAAAACACAAAACAAAACAAAAAAAAGGCATTTACAAGGCGAGCGGTGATAGGCCACGTCAGACACACACATCTGCCAGCAGGCTGCAGTTCGGTTGGGTTCGGGTTTGGGAGGGGATTTGCTTTATTTGGCGGTTGGGTTTGGTTTTTCTGATTTTTTGGGGTTTGTTTGTTTGTTTTAATTGGTTTGGTTTGTTTCACAACATACCTGTCCTGAGCCCCAAGTAGAATCCCCAGCCCGGTTAGAGGCAGAGCTTCCACTGTCTAGAAATAGAGAGAATGGGATAAAAATACCCACAAGTAGAAACAGTTCAGAATTTAACAAAGTTTGCATTTTTCTGCTCAAATACACCTGGCCCTCGGCATACAGCAACTAAAGGTGCAGTATCTCCTCCCCTGCATCTCCAGGGCCGGGCACAGCGACTCAGGCTGCTCAAATCTCAGCAGCTCACTCCTTCCGAAAACCTACACGTGGCACAGGCGTTTGTAAGCTCGCTTCTCAAAGCGCCCTTCGCTTTTAAACACCAAGGCATGCCCTTTGCCTACCCGCTGCTGTTGCCACTCTTGGTTTGGTTTGGTTTTATTTTGGATAGGTAATTTGCGGCTCTCATATCCACGCTGTGCTCAAACACATAACGCCATCGGGGAAGGAGTAACAGAGTCAGCCTGGTGTACGAAAAAGCATTTGTCAGAGCAAGAATAACAGCTTCTCTCGGTTCGGTGCATCCTACGGGCTGTAAGGCTGTAACACATCAGGGATACTGCACCTTTACAACAAAAGGCTTCAATTCTGTTCTCGTACCTTTGTTCAAACCCTTGAAACGGCTACACTGAAATAGCGTACAAGGTTGTATCCTGACATCCAGTTGTCTCTGGCCTGGCGAGATATGCAGCTTGTATGATTTCTAGGCAGCAGAAGCTCTGAAATTGCCTTATTTAGGTGTTCGTAAGAAAAAGTGGAGGTCCAGCCTATCAAATCAACCTTTAAAAGGACACTGTTGAGAATCCAGCCGTTTCCTTTTGGACCCACCCTCCTTCCACCGCCACTGAGCCTCCAGAAGGATTAAAAACAACAACAATCTCATTTTCTCTGTTGATTTTGCTCTGTCAGTTTGGCAAACGGTCGCTTCCTGCGTTTGAAATGGAACCGAAATGAATGTGACTACTTTTTTTTTTTTTTTTTTGCAGAAAAATAACAACCTCAGATCACTATAAATAGTGCTTTATCTTCCCAAAACAGCTCTGCCCGGGGACCCACATCAGCCCCCAACCCTGGCCACTGTCTGTGTGCTGCCTGCTGCCACCCAGCCAGGAGAGGGCTCACAAGATGACAGTTTTCTGTAAGATCCATTAAAACACAGTCAACATCTGGGTTTGGGACTTTAATTTGCCTGGAAAACAGGGTGTTACCTAGATCTTCTGGTCTATACCCTGCTCTCGGAGACACCAAAAAAACCCCACCAAGCTACCCTGTGACTGGGACTCCTCTCCCCCAAAGGGAGAAAATAAGCTTCAAAATAAACTTTATACTCTATGTGAGGGCAGAAAATCTTTCAGTGTCCCTTTAACGTATGTGGTCCTAAATAAAGAGCCTCTTCAACGCCTAAGAAGGTCAGAGGGACAAGTTCTTTCCAGATAAATCAGAGATTTGGTCACAGGGCAGCACTTAGCTCTCTTCCCAAGGACAAAACTGTCATTTTGTTCTCCTCTAAATGCAAACAGCAGCACATTGTCCTGCGAAGCTGGTGGGGTTTTCTTCTTTTTTCTCTTTATTATGAGCTTAAAGTCAAGTAATTTCTTCCCTGCCTGCACTTTGCTTCTGCTTTTCAAGAAAGCAACTGCACCAGGAATCAGCACCGGTCCCTCACCCCCACATGAGCTCTGGGCTGCCCCTCTTCCCAAAACAGTCCCCATAGCAGAAGAATAATCGTAACAAGTGCACACAAACACCACAAATCAACATCCAGAGTCCCTGGGCTCACGATTGTGTTTTATTTCAGTTTTTATTTTTATGCAAAGGGGAAAACTCATGGCTCCTCTTGCAGGACCAGGTCTGGCTGCAGACTGCAGCACGGGGTGAAGGATGAAGGGTGCCTGGGTCTGCCCTGGCAGCCTGGGAAGGCTTTAACTGCTCCAGGAAAAGCCGCACCGCATCCCTACCCCACCACAAGAGCCATCCGCCCCTTCCCATGCCCACAGGACTTGTTCCCAGAGAAGAAATATAACAGCAGGCTGGTGCAAGGTGCTCCTGTAACTGGGCAACTCCATCCACACTAAGAACTACAGCAGTTTAGAAAGAAATAAAATGCCCCACCTCTAACCAACACCGCCCCACGCGTACTGGTGACACTGGCTGGTGACACTCTGCAGAGACACGATCCTCCCTTGCTTGTTCATTGACGGGGAACGAAATTGAGCAAAAAGCCACCATCCAGCCCAAACTCAGCCTGGGAAGGATTTGGGAGGTCTCAAGTCCTACCCAGAACTAGGCTGATGCCAAGCAGAGACTGGGTCCCACAGGGCCTTGCCCAGACCAGTTTTGCCCATCTCCAAGGAGGGAGATGACCCATCCTGCCCCACACCCAGGGCAAGAGGTTTTCCCTTGTGCTCATTGCCATTTCCTTCGGTTCCTTCCAGCTGTCCCCTCCACCACCCTTCCTCCTAGAGGAGCAAGTCCCAATGTTCTTCCCATGCCTCACGTTCCAGCACCCTGCCCATGACACACCAAGCCCCAACCCGCACCCCACTGTCAGTACAGGCTTTATCCTGCTGTGCTGAGCTGAGCTGGGGCTCCTCACCCATCATCCCCACCCAGGAGATACAGATTAGTGGTTAGAATTACAATTGCAACTGGGCTCGAAGTAATAAATAAGATATCAGGGGAAGGGATAAAGGCCTGGGCACGAGCAGGCTGTCCCAACACAGCCCCTTCTGCCCCATTCCCTGCAAGCAAGGATCACCCATCCCTGTGGTGGTGGAGCACATCCGTCCCCCTCCTCCACGAGTACCCCCACATGCCAATGGGACTTTCTGAACTGCCAGGGTGGAGAACAACACCTCCATGCAGCAGGTGAAGCCTCCTGAAGAGAGGTACAAGGTTGTTTTGTTGCCTCCCAGCAGCATGTTTCCTGCACCCCAGCCCCACGCCTGCCCCCACTGGTCTTTCAGCTGCTCCTCCTGACCCTTTGAGCCCAGGCTGCTGCAGCCAGGGAGGAGCTGAGCATCTCTCAGCCCAGACTACAGCCTCAGCTGGGCCTGGATGCAGCCTTGGGCTAGCGCAAGACTTGAACTAAACACCTCTTTTTGGATATTAATGTTTAGATCTGAAAAGTTCATATTTTATTCTAGGATAGGGAGGAATAAGAGGGAAGACTGTAGAATAACCAAGGGAAGAAGGGGGGGGGGGGGGTATGGCAGTGCTGGGTATCCTTCCCAAGGGGGTTTAAATCCCTGCCCTATGTTTTCAATAGAGGGGCAACTGGCAAAGGAACATTTTAGTACCACAAACAACGGCGCTGGAGCCACTGGCAGCCTCTCGTGAGCATCCTGCAATAGCCAAGCTGCTGGGAAGTTTAAGCACATAAAGGTCCCTGTATTCCCAGGAGGTAGGAAAGCATTAAACCCCTTGGACAGCTACTGGGAGAGGTGTGGGCACAGGGTGCCAGGCAAGGGCACCCAGGGAGGGCAGTGGGGAGCAGGCGGGGCTAATGAAATCCTTGAAGGCAAAGTCTCCAAGCCACGAGAAGAGGTGATAGACTCAAGCCCTTGGCAACATCTTAATGATCTTATCGTTACAAAGTCTGTTGATGCATTCGGCTGCATGGGCATTTTCTTTAGCATAAGTTAGTGTAAGATCTGGGTAAATACAGCTCACTATAAACCAGAGAGCTCAGTGCTTTACATCTTCTGAAGCTCAGCCTCATGTTTTACTGGTGGTGAAGACTGGGAGACAGAAGAGTCAAAGCAGTAGAGCCAGGACACCACCCACAGGGGAGGCTTGGGTGCCATGGGCCCCAAACAAGCCACGGGGCTGTACAGCAGGACCCAAATCCACAGCTGTGGGTCTGGGACCTGGCCGATTCCCAAGGCCCTGATTTCAGCCCCAGCTATCCATGGATTGCTTTAATTTGTGGCTGCTCCACAAAAGAGCCCCAGGGCACCCCAAAAGACCCTAGACACAGACTTGTGGACAAGCACTATCCTAAGACTCCCTTTCACCCAGCCCATCCTTGCCTGGATGAATTCTGATGCTAAAGATAGAGAGAAAAAAAGGAAAAAAAAAAAGGCTTAATCTTTCTCTTCCCACTACATTTTATAACACTACCACTCCAAACCAGCCATTCAAGGAATCCTGAAGTGACAGCCTTAATACCAATCAGTGAGCTGCCACTGGAGAGCTTTTGATATTCTTGTCAAAGCAGTGACTAATTGCACTGCTTCTGCGTCCATCAAGGCAGCAAACCCCAGCTATTTCTGCAGGCCCTACTGAAGAGCTCCTGCTGTCTTTGCTCTGCCTCTCCAGCAGCAGCCAAGCAGGCAGGGCCATGCCTGGGAGCTGCTGGAAGCATGTTCCTGCCAACACAAGTGAGGAGGACCATGGGTGGCAGTCAACAGGGTGGGTAAAAAGGGGCCAGGACCAACTTCTGCTGCATCAGAACTTGGAGGAAGGAGCCTGGGGAATCAGAGCAGAGCATCAAGAGAAGACAAAAGGAAGAGGCTTCTTTATGGCCATGGCTCTGATAACGAGCTATGACAGGCAGAGAGCAATGCACAAGCTGAGAGCCATCAGCATGGACTTGCCAACAGCCCCACTAAGGAGGGCAGTGAGTTTTCCTCTTGCTTAAATGCTCTCTTGGCTTTCTGCTCCCAAACCTCTGGCCCTTCCTTCCACATTAACCCCCAACAGAAAGCTTTCACAAACATCATCCTATCCCACTTACCTTCTGGCTTCCAAAGCAGATAGAAACCATGCAATGGGGTCTGCATTGAGTACAGGGCCATTATGAATCGAGAACAGCAACAAATAGGATTGACTATGGTTAAAGACATGTCTCCTACCTTGCTTTGTGGGTTCTGTTCCCTTGAGGGCTGGTCATGGTGACAGTGGCATTTGAAAACGGCGTCTCTGCAGAAGAGTTGACAGCTTTGCTGTTGCTCAGCTCCATGTAGGTGCTATTAATGGAGTAGGTCACAACGCCATCAGTGTCCTCATAGTCAACATAGAGGCTGTCAATGTGTGATCCCACAGAGTTGATTGGATCTCCCTGGGCAAAAATGCTGTTCATGGTCATGTTGAGCACCAACTCCTTGGATTCCAAGGTCTTGTCCAGCAGCTTGTCCGTGATGGCATTCTCCGAAAGGAATTCCCTGGAGGTGAACCTGGGGTCGAAGTCTCTGTCGTCATGGTCTGTCTGGTAAGTAGACCTGGTTACGTTTGAATCTAGATTGGAGCCAACAGGGGGAAACAACAGTGACAACCACAAAATGCATTCAGGCTGGGAGGCGAAAGCAGCCTGGAGCAGCGGGAGGCACGCCGGAGCCTGAGCAGCCACCCGGGAGGCTAGAGGCAGGAGTTAGGGTCTTGGGCAGGGGGAGTCTCATGGGGTTGTACCCCTTTGGGAAGACTGTGCAGCTCTGTGGGTCTCATCCCGCTATCGCATGGCCAGAGGAGAGCTCAGCGCGTGCCAGCACCACCCCAAGCAATAGCAGAGGTCAGAAAGGAAGACGTCCTCCTAGACCCAGAGCCCATGCAGCCATGCTGGGAAAGCACTCGAGGCAGTTTGGTGGTGGGATGCCCAAGGGACTGGAGCGGGAAGGAGATTGCTGGGGGCTGGGCAGAGGTGGGAGGTAGTGGAAGATGTTGTGACAGGGACCTCCGTGCACCCAGGGCTCCCTCCCTGTCTTGGCATGAGGCAAAGCATGGCAGGGCACCAGCAGTGAGACCTTACCCATGACCACCCCCCCACCCCCCAGAAACCAGAACCTGAAGGGCAAAGAGGATTTATGAGCAGAGACATTTTAAAGAACTTTCCAAGGTTTCCAAAAAACAAACCAGCAGAATCACCAGAGGTAGAAACAGAGCGTTTTCAACAAGAGCTCTGAGAAGCAGAACAGTGAGGCCCAAGTCTCCTCCTTACCTTGGGGTTGTTTGCCCTTCAGTTTTGGCTCACAGTCAATTGTTTCTGCTCTTTCATAGACCTCATTGGTTTCCTGACCTTTGCTCAAGTTTAAATCTTCCTCCGTGTCCTGCCTTCCAAACACCTGGTTCTCCAAGTCTATCCTTTCCCTGGAGATTTTCCCAAAATAGGTTGCATTGTGCTGGATAAAACCCAATGGCACGTCTCCATCAAACTCTCTGCTTTCTTCGCTATCTGACTCCGAGAAGGTGTAGTAGATGGGCTGCAGATTTTTTGAGTGTGGCTTCCTCAGGAGGGTGTATTCAAATGTGATGGATGGATTCTTGCCATTTTGATTCCAGACCTAGCAAACAAATTAAATTATTAGCGGATGCAGCGAGTATACGGCACACAAAGCTTGTGATTCATCTTGGACTTGACAGTTGGTGAGCATCTACTTTACTATTTCCAATCTGCTTTCCATTGTGTTGCCAACTTCTTACAACTGAAGCCCAGCACAATTTTCCAAGGGTTATTTGGCAGCACTGCCCTGGGGATCAGCCCCAGCTCAGGGACTGGGAGCCACAGGTCGCACTCTCTCCTCTGCTGCTGAGCAACCAGGGACTTGGGAGAGCCACTTCAGAAGTTACTGACCATCATGTGCAAAACCATTTTTTGTGGCTTTATGGCGAATGAGGAGCACGCGCGCACACACACACACACACACACACACCATCCCCACTGGGGATGGGAACCCACAGCTGATACACTACAACACCTTTTATCAGTCCAAAGCTTTATAAGCACCCAAGAAGCCCCATCCCTTCCCCTTCCAGAGGAACCCGGGGCTACATGGAAGATGGCACGAGTTGGGCTCTGGCTGACTGCCCAGAAGAAAAATGAAATTTCTTTTCTTCATATGCCTGGTTTAGATGGTTCACTTTCAGGAAAGAGGTAGGGTTTAAGTTTTGTGCACTTCTCTAAGCTATCTGGCCCAATTTCTTATTTTTACTCTTCCTGCCAGGTAAATTGGACAAAAAAGCCAAGGAGTAGAAGAAAAATCCCCCCGCAGTGCCTGAGGCATCTTCTCCCTGCAGAGAGAGGGGTTACCAAGCCCACGTTCATTATTCACAGCCCTGCCGGCATCTGAGAGCGCTGACGCAAATAAAATAGGTTTGTGCTAGGAATTGGGCACAGTCACTGCTCCCACTCCCCTCCTCAAGCTGTCCAGGAAAGCTGGGAAACCACAGCAGGACTCTGCTCCCACGCCCACCCCTTCCTCGATCCAGCATAGATTTTTCCTTCCCCGTCACCCCCAGCCTTGCAAACTTGAGAAGTCAAAGCACACCATTATGTTCAACCCTTGATTTGTCGGTCCTTGTGCAACAATATACTCTATGCCGGTCTCATAAACATCCATGGGCCTGCGGTACTTGAACACCGTGCCTGCAATGTTGAAGTTCTTCGGACTGTCAACTTTGTAGTTCCCATTGAAGAAATAGTACCCAGCTTCATCAGCCACAGCTTCAAATGAGAGAGAAAAAGTGAGTGCCATCATATGTAAGAGCCCAGGTATGCAAAATTGCCCCTTGTTCATTCAGGGGATAAAATTATTGGTGTGTCATAGTCATAAAACAAGCATTTCTCTTACATTACAGCACATTTGTCACCTATTTCCAACACATATCACGTGACTATGCGCCCAGAGTTCTGGGCCATGCATCCCTCTACATTGCAAGTTCCTGGGTACGTGGCTAACGCTAGTCCATGGCTCCTCTAGCCCTTCTGGCACTAGCATAGCATGAACATTTCACAATCACAGCTCTGCAGGCAATAAGCTGACTGTCAGGTGGCCAACAGCAGGAGCTGCAGAGCTGGTGCCACCTGACCCAGCAGTGGCCCAGGACAGGTCATCCAGAGCTAGCCCAGGAACTGTACTAAATCAAGCCTTCTTCATTCAAGCCCTCCTGCACATGGCCACGAGCCTCTGAGATAGCAGAGCATGAGGTAGCAAACGTGCTTCTCTTGGGCAAGTCCAAGATTTTTCCATGCTCTGCCATCTCCATCACGAGATGGATGGTGTGGCCACCAGCACTGCAGTGAGGCAACACAGGTCACATCTCCCTGGTGCTGTTGTCATGTGGCCATCGCACATTCCCCAAGCAGGAGAAGATCAAGGGGATCACAAGAGAGGTGAAGTCACTTGGCTATCTGCGATCCGGCACCAGCGTGTTTGTCATACCACACTGAAGTAGCAATAATATTGACCAACAGTGTCTGCACTAAAGCAATCCAGGCGTTGATCTATACAGCCCAGGTGCTCAGACTGCAGAGAGAAAGGCACTGGCTTAGACAACGGCGTTGTGATTTACATTGACTCTGGATTTAGCTCATGTCTGCAATAAAGCTACATTCAGCTTCGCCTTGGAAAAAGCATTAGCTAGTAACAGGCATGCATTCTAGGGAAGTACCAAGAGGTTATACACACCCAGAACATCTGCAGATTTTTTCCGTTCCACTATCTGGATATCCCTTGCTCCTGCAGGAATGTGCGTTACCAGAGAATAGCCTATGGGAAACTACAGATTAATGAAAGGAACTTTGTAACAAATACTCTGAACCAAACGCTCGGTAGTCAATACTGCAATACATCAAGCAAACTGGCCTGGATCCAAAATTACATTTTAAGGAGTTATAGATTGAAAAAAAAAACCCTAATGTTGATAACTGTTAGGCTGCAAGTGGGACCTTACCGATGATAGAAAAGAAAAATGCATGAACTACGCATCCTGGTTTATGGTGGAAAGATACAGCCAAGGGAGGGAAAAAGCTGCAATCCTGACATGCACAAATATCACGTTTAGGGGAACTGGTGTGAGGAGAGAGGCCCAAAGACTGCTTTGTTAGCTAGAAAAGCCATCCTGTGGTTCAGCATCAAGTCCTGAGCTAGCCAGTCTTCCCAAAGCCCCAGCAAGAGATTACAACTTGTTTCTCCACAGACTCCCCTTTGCTTCGCTCTAGGGAAGCGATGGGACAAGCCCTCCCCAAGACCAGTGAAGTTCCTGCAGCTTGCTCCATCTTAAACTGCTCCTCGGAGAGCATTAATCATTATTCCCGAGTTAGACTGCTATATTTAGGACAAGTAGGTTCTGCTGCTTTACATCACACTCATTTTGGAAATCCTGGTCTTTCAAAATATCCTTGCTTCCTGTTATTACAAATCATTTCTTTCTAGTCTTACTGGGTCATGAGAAAGACAACTAAAATAAACGCCAGCCTCTTGCATAACCCTTTTGCACCATTCAGCATCAGAGACCTCAGGCTTCTGACAAGCACCATGCAAAGTCACTGGTTTTCTTTAAAGAAAGCTTTCCCTCCCCAAATTTACAAGTGGCATGAACACACATGAAAAACTGAAGCAGGGCAACGGGTAAGAGCTGAAAGCAGCTTACTAAAAAAAATAAGTACATTT